CTCCTCTCTTCTCACTTTGAAAAAACACACAAAAAATGAACAGATTAATAAAAGTTTTATGACTCAATTCCCCATTTATTTACAATGTTGGTAATAAGAAATATAAAAATGATTTCGTACAGAAATCTCATTATATTTAATAAATGCACCTATAAGAATGGAAGCAAAATACAGTACAATGAAGGAAGTAATGGTCAATTACTTCCAGCTTTCTTCTGTTGTCTCCTAACATTAGTGGCAGTTGCATGCTATATTAATGCGAGCAATAGTGTTATGCACACAGTGCGTAATAATGAAAAGTAAACTGTCTTTGAAAGGGCTTTATAATAATATATACAAAACTTCTAATATGTAGTCAAGCTCATATTTTGAAATAGTATAAGGCAAGTGTCTCCCAACATATCTGGTCTACTTTTATTGGTTTACAACAAGGAAAGCAAATTCAATATTAATAATGGAGGGTTATCACTGGACAGGTTCCAAATATAAGGTACCTATAGTCAATTATTTAAGACTAGTTAATGCATTTTACCTGGAGCTTCCCAGTGTTGGGCCCAAGGGGGGCGCTCTCTCTTTCTCTCTCTCGCGCGCGCTCTCTCTTTCTCTCGCGCTCTCTCTCTCTCTCTCTCGCGCGCTCTCTCTCTCTCTCTCGCGCGCACTCTCTCTCTCACTCTCTCTCGCGCGCTCTCTCTCTCTCTCTCTCTCTCTCTCTCTCTCTCTCTCTCTCTCTCTCTCTCTCTCTCTCTCTCTCTCTCTCTCTCTCTCTTCCTTGAAACTAAAGTCTGGGGCCAAGCTTCCCAAAATTCTGGATCAGCTAGGGTACTGCTACTGGCAGCCCCTCAGCCACTATACCTGCTACAGCCTGGCTAATCAAGCATCTTTTGATCAGTCAAGCATAACATTAGCATCTAAAATTAATATGTTGGATAAAATATCATACTCATACATAACCTTGAGAAAACTTAAGCTTGTTGGACTAGAAAATAGCAGACATTTAGTTCTAGGTTTGTATCCAGTTTTGTGGCAATGATTTTTTATATTATATACAATATATACAAAGATATATAATCAATTAAGCCATAAATTATAACTTTCATAAGTATTCTATGGCAACATGTCACAATTATGAAATATACTGATCAAACATATCATGAGATCCACTATTCATACAATGTTAGTTTTGACACTTACAGACTACAGTATCACGATAAAGAAAAACACCTAGCATGAATATAAATGTTAAGAAAATTTTGCATTTTGTGTGCAACACAGAGGCACATTGTTCCTGACAATGGTAAGGTACTGCTATAAACAAGCCAAGTAAAAATATTATTAATGGACAAGAATGTAGCCATTACAGTACTATACATGAATTTGAACATTTATTCAGAATCTTTAATATACTATGGACAGAAAACTAATGTATGTAGGCAAATCAAGTAAAAATATAACACCCTCTATAGCTGTTCTAAAAGTACAAAAAATCCTGTCATATGGAGCTCACAACACAACGAGTTGGCCAATGCTGTCTTGTCTATGTGTCAGTGCTCTTGATGAAGGGCAGCAGGATTATCAAGACCAGTGAATAATGAATGCACCAGAGTTGTGGAATCTATAACACTGATAATTGCATTTACAGCTAGAGTTGGTAAAAATAAATCAGCGTTGAATGCAATGACACGCCATTTTCTGGGCGAGACCCAGAGGCTCCACGGAGCTATCCAGGCTGATATGTAACCATTAACTTTCTGGCATCAGTCAAAGTGCATGGAGTTCTTGCCTACCGGGAACCATGAGCCAAAACCTGGCCCCCCCCTCAGAGAGGCATGAGAAGCAATGGCCTATAGAAACCCCCGTGTGGTTGGAAGCATTCTATGTCTGCCATCGACCGGGTCTGACACCCAGAAAGGTAGGCGCCCCAAAACAAACCCCTATCCTGGTGAAAATATTGCTACCGAAAGAGGAATGAGTGAACAGAACTTCCCTAGTGAAAACTACCAAATTAGCATCAAGTCATCACATCGCTGTATGTGCAACTTCCCCCTCCCCGGGAGGGGGGAAGGGGTAGCCCCAGACCCCCCGTGCCGGTGATCCAACCGACAGTTCTTAGGCTGGATGTAAAAAATATGTGAAAACACCGCCGCCCGGAGGGAGAGAGAGATGCCAGGGAGCCTCCGGGTCTCACCCAGAAAATGCAGTTTCATTACATTCAACGCTGGTATTCTGGGGGGGGGGAGCCCCATTGGCTCCCCGGAGCTACAAAGATAAGAAAAAGAGGAAAGGACCCGGGAGGCAAATGCTACGCGCCCTAACTCAAAAACAAGATAACTGGAAAACCGAAGGACCCAACAGACAACCCAGGAGACCCAAACCCTGAAACAGGAAGGAAGGAAGGAAGGGAACCCGGGCAATCCAAAGCATTCCCACCACCACAAGGGACAAAACGTGCAGAGAACAGCAGAGAGGTGCAACCAAACACAACACATGATGCACCCCGGCCCGACCAACCAAAGAACAAGAACCTAAGGACCCCTCCGGAAAGCAGCAGACCCATTCATCACCAGAGAAAGGAGACTGCCACAAACGAGCAAAACTACCACTAGGACCAAATGAGCAGAAAAACTTCGGTGCCTGAGGAGAGCCTGAAGCTCCCAGAACCGACCCCCAGAGGCCAACACCAACAGGAAAAAAAAAAAGGGCTGGAAAAACAACCCTGAACCAACAACGAAGCCACCTGCACCCCATACAAGAGAAGATAGACTCGAGTCAGAACCTCAGATGCAAAGACTCGAGGAGAAGAATGAACCAGCCTCATGCCAAGCTTGACCAATCTGCTGAAAGAAGCGGAGCTGCTCGAAGACCCTCGGGTTCGGACACCAAGCAAGCAGTGCCCAAAAACAGGGCTGGGCCGGCCACCAAAGAGTCAGAAGGACAACTCTCCCCTGGTAAGTCCCTAAGTGAGTCAGGACCTGGAGCAACACCTGAACTGGAAGAAGAGGTATAGGTAACCCCACTTCGACCAATCCTGCCTGAAGGTATCAACCCCGACAGCCTCGCAGTCGGAGAAGGGCGCCACGTATACTGGGAGAAGCCTCGACCACCCCGACACAAAGAGATCCACTTCTGGAGGCTCGAACATCTGGCAGAGCCAACTGAACGAGTTGCCGTCGACTGTCCATTCCGTGGACAGGAGAATGAACTGGGACAGACTGTCTGCCAGGACATTGGACACTCCCCAGACGTGAACTGCCAGGAGAGCCAAACCCCGAGAACTCTGCTGATGAGACACCCGAAGTGACCAGCCCCAAAGAGCCAAGGACCGCATGGAATCCCTCCCCTGGTTCAGGCACTGAATCACCGAGGAACAGTCCAAATGGAGCCGGATCGTCGAGCCACGAGTGACCCGAACCCTTCGGAGCGACATCTACACAGCTGCAAACTCCAGCACCGTGCTGTGAGCCCGACGGAAGGACGGACCCCACCGTCCCTGGCCGACCTGGTGAGCACTGGTCACAAAGCCCCTGCCCAGAGACGACGAGTCCGTAAACACATCGAGTGAGGTGCCAAGGCACTGAACAGCGAAAAACCCTAAGAGGAAGCCGGCAATGCAGCAACCGGAGCAAAGCCACCAGAGGTCGAACCCAGTGGTCGTGAGAGAGGTGGAAGGGACATCCCCAAAGGAACCAGAACAACCAACAAAGCCACACTCGGGTAGACCACCAAGGCAAAGTTCAGGCTCCCGCTCAAACCCTAGGGCAACCGGCGTGTGACCTGGGAGCCCCTCAAAAAGAGACAAAGGCGGGAACGCAGGTGAAGCAGAGCCGCCAGAGGAAGAGACAAGAAAGCGGTCCGAGCATCTCACACAAGATCCAGCCAAGACAGAACCTGAGAAGGAACCAGTTGGGATGTCCGCCAGTTCACCAGGAACCCAAACCCGGCGAGCTGGGAAAGAACCAAATCCCTGGCAAGCAGACACGTGGACCCGCTGAGAGCCAAAACCAGCCTGTCGTCGAGGTAGGCCAGAACCTGAACACCTAACAGATGCAGGCAGGCCACCACGACCCGATAAGTCGTGTGAAAATGCAAGGCGCCAGATTCAAGCCGAATGGAAGGCAAACCTATCAAGCAAACTCCTAAAAGCTGAACCCCAAGGACGTGTCCACACATGGGGGCCTAGCAGGGGGTACCACCAAGAAAACAAAAATGTCTATCAAAAGACCCCAAAAAATAGAGAGGGGCAACCAATCAAAGGCAGCCCCCCCCTCCCCCCCACCACGCAGAAAAACAAAAACAAAAGAAAAACCCCGCAAGAGGATAACGTACCTAGGCGGAACAGAGCAGGCCGCTATAAGAGGTGAAAACTAGCTGTGCTGTACCCAGTGCCCCTACTAGTGATGAAAACCATCTCTTACCCAGAGGCAAACAAGGGCAAAAGAAATTCCAGCCGACTCCAAGGGCGGCCAAATACTGAGTAGAAAAAGACATAGCGGAGGTAAATCCCAAGGAGACTTGTGAAAGGAGGCCCCAAGGGAAGATAACCCTAGGCACATGCTGCTCGAGTACCATAGAATATTAATCCTGGCTCACACATCATCTGTAGAGACAGCCCATGTCACAAGGAACAGAAACTGAAACCAAAGCAGGAGCCAGAGGTACCCGCCTTGCCAGTATCACATCAGCCAAGAAGTGCCGGTTGAATTGCTGGTGCTGGGGGTCTGGGGCTCTCCCCTTCCCCCTCCTGGGGACAGGGGGTTGTGCAGACGGCGACGTGATGACATGCTACTTTGCTAGTTTTCACTTGGGGAGTTCTGTCCACTCGTTCGGCTTTCGGTAGCAATATTTTCACCAGAATAGGGGTTTGTTTTAGGGTGCCTACCTTTCTGGATGCCAGACCCAATCGATGGCAGACATAGAATGCTTCCAACCACATGGGGGTTTCTATAGGCCATTGCTCCTCGTACCTCTCTGAGGGGGGCCTGGTTCTGGCTCGTGGTCCCTGGTAGGCAAGAACTCCATGCACTTTGACTGATGCCAGAAAGCTAATAATTACATATCAGCCTGGATAGCTCCGGGGAGCCAATGGGGCGCCCCTCCCCCAGAAAAAAAATGAATACAAAAATCACTGAGAAATTATACCCAGGAGTTGTCAGTATTCTGAATGTTAGTTTGATTTACATATTCCAAAATGAGCTTCATTTTATGAAAATTTGTGCCTGCTGGGTTGCAAGTTGGTGGATGTAAGAACGCTCATTCTCACGACTAGTGTCTGCTTTCTTGTTTAGAGGCTGAAGGTGGAACCTTCCCTTCAAGGAGTTGTCATGGGTGCCTCATTACATACCCCAAGATGGACCAAGTGACCATTAGATGGCAGCATCATACCTCATCATGCTCCAAGAACTTCAAGGGGCACCTCCAACAAAATGTACTTTCTACATACCATATATATTGGAATATGGAGGAGGTTACCATGAATGATTTACTTCCCCAAGGATCTATTGTCAGCCATTTTGTGGATTTAATAACAGGCTCCTGTTCCAGCACTATCTGAAGAAGTAATTCCTATTACAGCATGATAATGCTCACACTCATACAGTACTTAATGCAAAGGAAACCATCTAGGAGGGCTAGTGTTTGAAGCATTCACCCCTCTACATAAATTACTCTTACCCATTGGCTCACCAGGTTGTGTTTTCTTCTCAAGGAAGTTGCTTTGTAAATTGTGTTACACATTATGTAGCTTATGATAAGAGTTCACGGCCTCCTGTATTAAATATCTAAAAAGGGATCAACTTGAAGGTTCTTCAATATTCAGTACAGTACTTGATTTTCAAGTACTGTACTGATAGATTTCTCCATTTCAATCAACTTGAAGTAACACAAAATCAGACAGGACTGTTGACACTTTGACATGGCATATTGTGTATGCACACAACAAGAGCTGAGAACATAACTTTTGTTTACATTTGAATCCCCCATAGTATATACATTAAAATTTAAAATGAAATGAAGTGCAAATTACAATATTTTAAATCTATGAAAATAATTTTTGGATACGGTACCAGAACTCTAAACAATTAAACATAAAAATAATATTCGTAGTATTTTATAATGTGCTCTATGCCTCAACAATGGGAGGCACACCAAGATAATGTTTGGGAGGTTTCAAACCAGTCTGCAAGGTAAGAATCACACTTCGGTTTAGGCTGATAGCTGGATAGAGGACTCCACTTACACCAGTCAACGACAAATAACCCTGTAAGAACACAGTTATATTATAGCATACATTTTACATATTGTGGCTTTATATGCCAATTATTACCTCATTTCCCACATTCATGAGGTGGACACACATCAATCCAGAGAAAAATGAGAAGCTGTAGAGGAAAAGAAGGCTAAAGTTATTCAAAACTAGATATATTTTGATCATAGCTGATCAAGAGGAATTTCCATTCCATAACATCTTATGATACACATATGTGGTGTTAAATAAATACTGTAGATTCGAGGATTACAGAATGTTATAATAAGCATTATTAGGGATGTAAGTAGTGGTGACAACAGTGGTGTTAATAGTAATAGTGGTGGGGGTGCTTACCTGTGTTTAAAGGGAGTGAGGGAAGGGAAAGAGATGGCACAAAGTGGGAGGAAAAGAGGTGGAGGGAAGAAGATAATGTTGGGAGGGGGATTTGAGGGAAGAAAGGAGTTGAAGCATGAAGGGGACAGGTAGTAGTAGTAGTAGTGAGAAGGACAATAAGGGAGGAGGGATGGGGGGGGGAGTAAGACAGATAAAGGGAGGAGAGATTGGGAAGAGATAGTAGGAGTTGAGGGGAAATTGTTACCATGAAGCAGTTCTAAGGATCAATGTCCCAGTGGTTCAATCTCTGACCAGGCCTCCTGGTTGACAGTCTGGTCAATCAGGCTGTTTGATACTGTTGCATGCTGTCTCATGTACGAGCCAGCCTGACTGATCTGGTACCCTTTGGAGTTGTTTATCAAGTTCCAATTTGAACACCAAAAGAGAAGGGCTAATTATGCTCATCATATGTTGAAAGAGGTAGTTAAAAAGTAAATTGTCATGTATCTCTTCTTGGAGTGCATGCAAGAGATGAGGTACATGCCTGAAAAATATTAGAGACTGGTTCCAAATCTACAATGAAATAATTCCTTACAAGCCCAGGAGTCACAGCAGAATGTGCAAGATAGCCCCCTTGAAAAGTATGGGTGCAACAGATACTCTTAAGAGATACTGTAACATTATAAACATAAAAGGGCCCAAAACTTTTCAACTGACTCCCTCTAAATATGAGGGGCATAATTGCTTCAACTTTTTAAGTGTTCAAATTGGAACATGAGAAATGCCTTCAAAGGGTACCTGATCAAACTGAGGCTCATACATCAATCAGCACGCAGCGATGTTAAGCAGCCTGACTGACCAGAATGTCAACCAGGAGGCCTGGTTAGAGATCAAACCACAGGGGCACTGATTCTTGGAACCACTTTAAGGTGAGAAAGTAAGAGAGCACATAAGAGTGTGAAAGAGTACGAGAGTGAAAGACAGAGGGAAAGGAAGGGGAAGGAAAGGGGAGGGAAAAGTGAAGGTTGCAATTTTATCTAAAATTAAAAGAAAAAATCCAGAAATCATATAGAAAACTAAAAAAAACATAAAAAGGTAATTATAAAAAGTAAACTGAAGAGAGCAAATTCTTTCATTTATAAGATTCATCCTGTACCATATTAAATCTATATACTGTATTGTGCTATATTTTATATTAACAATACATTAAACAAATGAGAAATAGTATTACATACATTGTACTGTATTTCTGTAAAAGAACTTTTGGTCATGTGCTACACTTACCTGTAATTCCCCATTAACATAGAAACCTAGGGTTTTTTCTGGTAAATTGAGCAATAATCCTACAATGTCTCCTGTCCGAACACCACCTGCTGATCGGTTGAAATGTTCCCCACTGTGCATCAGCCATGATCGCTCATTATCAATGTACATACTCCAACTACCCCCACATTTTCCTGAAAAGTTAATACTTTCAATATAAGAGCACAAAAAAAATAAAGCATAGAAAATTACATTGCCTTTCTAATCTCTCCAAAAATAGTTTATATTGGTAGTGTAAACTGTAATATGTGATGGGTTCTGATTTTTAGTGATTCATAAGTGATAGTGATCTCATTAGGCCCCTAGATGAATAATTCATTACTGTATACAACAATGTTTTTCTTCATGAAAGGTACGTTATTAGTTATATCATAGAGTAATATTCTTATAATCAAGGAGAACTAGGACAAGAGCCATAGCCCATGCTACGATTAAAGGATAATTAGGGCTTACTATAAGAAATACCTAACAAAATATTTATATTAATGCTACTAAAAATATAGAATCAACAAGTAACTGACTATTGCAAGCTAATTATCTTTAAAATATTAACTATGATGCAAAATTGCTGTAGAATATTGGTATTGCACATATATATGACTGAGTGAGATACACAAGACAAGCATACAGTATTACTTTCTACATATGCAATCACACACAAAATATTCCTTAACTTTTTAAGTGGAACAAACTGGTAATACCTTACCAAGAATCATTTCCTTGCATATATCAATTCTTGAGAGTCCAAAGGCAATATCTGCATTTCCATCATATTTTTCAATGTTGAATTCCCAATAGTGTACTCCCCTAGAGAAGCCAACACTTCCCAAGGCTACTCGATGTTCGTAAGAATCACAGCTGATAGTAAAGCCATTCTCGGATATGGTGTGATCTGGGTGGATTGACTCCAGACTGAACCAAGCCACTGCAAATTCAAAGTATTACATTATACAAATGATAAATGTTGTGCATAAGGCTAGCTTTCACATATGCTGCATCAAATGATATAGTGTACAATAGCCGTAATGACTTGACGCATTCTCCTGATAGTTCATTTGTTCTAACCAAATTGTCTATTTCAAGTTAGTACAGTATTTATCACATACCACAGTAGATATCTGAAAAGTCAAACTTTGATGGCTATGTGTTGTGGCTATATATGTGAAAAATTCTTGGTTTTATTTTCAATAAATATAGTACAGTATTATTATTGTTTATTGTAACATAATTAATTATAATTAATTAATAAATAAGTCAATTAAGTGTATGAATATTTATTGAAAATTGTACATTATTTGAAATAAATTTCATTGTACATAACTTTTGAAACCACGAACATCCCTACTATTGTACAGTAGTTACTCCATCACGGGATTCAATGACATTTCTTAAGTAAGCTAACAAAAAACTTCACAAAAGATTTGCAATGCATGATTAAAGAGAGTATCCTCATATTAAATTTAACATAATGGAAAATCAAAATACTGTACAATATTTAAAATTTGTAATCCGAAGGTAAATACTGAAAGTGGCAATAGCACAATTAGCTCACAATCGAGTGAACCAGAGATTGATTCCTGGACAAGGCGAGATGTTTGGGCACATAACTTTATACCTAATGCCTTTGTTCATCTAGCAGTAAATAGAATACCCGGAATTGTGTAACCGTCGTAGGGGTGCATTGTGAGGAAGGTTAGTTGCTGTTCTAATTGGACCATGCTAAGTTTAACAAGCTTCCTCTCCCAGACAATAGGACACCGATTAACAGCAGTTCTAAATTCTATAACTTTCAACATTTTTTTTTATATAAGAAATACATTCAAGTGAAAATAACAAGTGTAATAACATGAATACACAAAATAACTCTTGAGAGCTCTGATAAGAAACATGACCCTTTGGTGTAGTATACCTTCAGCTGTCTGTAAGCAAAGAGGTTCACAGTATGATGAGTTTCCAGTATTATTGAAAGCCCGTACTCTGGCTCGATATATAGAATTGAAGTGTAGGCCATCAATGGTGCATACAGTCTCTTCTCCTGTGTACACTTCCTAAAAACATTGAAAATACAGTAACTTCAAAATTCTGCATGGGGGACCATTATATTTGAAAGTTCTAGTTTACTGTATATTTAAAATCTGTGAATAATACAAAATAAACTAACATTAAAATAAACCAAAACAGATATTGTACATATAATATAAACTTTGAATAAATGAAAACTTCCATATTACTTCAATACTAAGACTAAGTAGCAATCAATATTTCTTGTAAGGTCACAGGGTAAATAGTGTCACTGGTTTGGCTTAAGGCTAAATGTGAGTAAAAAATTTATTGAAAATGACCATCAAAATCTAGTTCATTCTGAAAAACCATATATTCAATCCAGCAATGCAATATTAACTTCAATCCTATTAAGAACATCAAAAGCAATTGCAAATTGTTATCAAATTGACTTACCCTAAATGGGCCATTAGATCCATCATCAATTTCCAATGTGTATCCAGTGACGCATGAGGTAGGATGAGGAGCCCATGCAATAGTCACACTGTTGTTTTCTGCGCTACACTCTTCAGTAATCATGGATGGGGTGCCAGGAGCTTTAAAAATAAAATGAAAAACAGCTGCATGGCAAATATGTTTTGCATCAGTATCTTAAGTCTAGGTGTTACACAATCATTGTAGTAAAATTAAAGTATGTACCTTCACTGAAAATAAATTTTGATCTCATACTGTCACTTTAAGTAACTTCTGTTTATACTGTATATAATAAAGTTCTAGTACTTTTGTTCAATTTCCAGAAACTCATCGAAAATATTCAGTATATCATCTGGGTTTATTGATGAACTATAACAATACACAATTTGATGCACAGGTAACTTTATCTGAGAATATAACACATTACCTTCTTAATTTTACACACATAAATCCCAGCTAGCCTTGTTTTTATCACATACACACATTCTACCGAACTACCCCAATTGGTTGTTTCGAAAAGCAAGAGCCTTCCTGCTTTCATAGCCCAGATCATGAACAGTCAGGGCAGGTTGACAATCTGCACAGCCATAACAAATCTTTTCAAAACATCTTGTGCCATAATGGTGCCAGGCATAAACTGCAGAATTTATTCAATACAGCCCTGAATAACTCTTGAAGGTTCATTCAGATACTCTCTTAGGCTTTACTTGAGATCATAGGCACCACCACCAAGTCTTCCATCCCAATCTTACTTTACATCCATTTCTTTCATCAGGTCATTTGCAGCCTTGCTACTTTCCCTGTAGTCACCTCTTCTGCCCTCTACAACATGAAAACATTGTTTATTTACCATTCCTGCTTCTATGATTGCAGTCTACGAGGCCATCTCGTCCCATCAATCTACTGCTCCACAGTAATACTTTATTTTCACACACGTTTCTCACATGTGCTTGTAATATTTGATGTAACAACTCATTGCTAATTTACAACATAACTCTGAAGTGAATAGGGTATCACCAAAAATAACAATATATGCTGCTTGAAAAATAAAATTAAAAATCAAAGAAAATGGATGGAGAACCAAACCCCGGTGCTATGACAAATGGTCCTACTTGCAACAGGGAAGGATTACAAATACTAACTACTAGTATTTAATAAAAACTAACTATCGTTGCTTAATTCATAAATCTAGGACTAAATCTTTTAAATTAAAAATACATTTATTTCTCTGTACTTGCCAATGTAATGAAGGAATACATGATTATGTATTCCATGCACCTGGGCGCTAGGAGACTCGAACTGTGGACCCCATGAGCATGTGAGGCCGAAGCTCTATTGACCGAGCTAATGAGTAGTCTTAATAAGGAAAGTTTCCAGAAGCAGCATCCTGCTGCCAAACTGGAATTTTCGACTTTTCCTGACTACTACATAAGCTCAGAAGAGTTAGTGATCCACGCCTACATCATATAATATACAGTATCCTCCTGTTACTTCTGGAAACTTTCCTTATTAAGACTACTCAATAGTTCGGTCAATAGAGCTTCGACCTCACACGTGGGGTCCGCAGTTCGAGTCTCCTATATCCCATGTGAATGGAATGTTTATTTCCACGGAAGTGTGGATGGCAATTTATATGATTATGTATCATACTTTAAAATCATGTTCTTGGCCATGCAGCAGAATACTGTACCTGTATGATGTATCTTAGAGACTGCCTGACATGTACTAAGAGTCTAATCTATGCAAGTAAAATGCCATGCAAGTTCATAACAATATGTGCCACATGCTGTAATTCACAATATACTACTATACACGGCAACTAGAAACCACCTAGAAAGGTACAGTTTTAAGGAAATGGTCACTCGTACAGTCAAGCTAGGAGAAATGCCACACCAGACATGGAACTGATTGAAGCAAGACAAGAAGATAATTGTATTCCCCACCTGAGCCATCTGTCTGTGGCTGAGTAACAACTGGGCCTAGGATAGCATGGAAGGAAAACCATTTTAACCTTGGCTATGTTTTTGAACAGCAAATAATATTAACTATGGTTTTATAATATTGAATTAGTTAAAATATTAAAATAATAAAGCTACCCAATAGCTGAGGTGGTGAGTGGATATTTGTTAGTAAGTGTACTGAAAAAATAAATATAAATTCATGCGTTCACCAACAATTTGTTTTAGCCAATAAGACATTTACAATTAACATTATAAACCATTCTAAATTCAATACATACTATACTCTTAATATCAAATTCTAATGCAATAGTATGTTATATTGCACATTTTTAACAATGATATTTAATAATCAAATCTCTCGCTATATTCGAGTATTTCAAGGCAAACATGTACTGTATAATACCACTTACGTTTAAGTTGTATAAAGGTGAGCTGTTGGATCGCAGTCAAGAGTGTCTTGTCATCCAATGTGAGGTTGAAGCCTGGAGGTACTCGTGGCTCTGGTATCATGGTTTGATCCCACTCTCGCCTCATTGTACAAACACGCTCTTCTAAAACTTCCTGGGCCTGATAAATGCCAAATATGAATACTGTATATTGCTTTTTTTCAATATCGAGGCTTTTACTCAATACGAGATACTGTACAGTACTACATTTATGAGTCTTATCATTATAGATTAAAAACTACTTAAAAGGGACCAAAACAGCTCTAGCAGACTCAGAGGATCTTCTATAAAAGACTGCTTTGTATTTGTTGGGCTTCTTGCTAGTGAACTGCTCCACAATTTTGAAAATGTTAATTGTTTTAAAAGGAAAACCATAAGAAAATAAGTTACAACAAATTTCTTCACAAAGTCATTTGTTTTTGCGAGGATCTTTTTTCTCTTTTAAATATGAACATTGTGTAGTGTAGAAGGACCTTTGAGCTTTTCACCTACAGTATACATGAAACAATTACATTAAAAATTTTAATTAGATGAACTTGGACCATTCATGAAGTCTAACATTCCTCATTGAGGAGTCCTGGGATCCTAAAAGGCTTGCTGTCTCCGATAGTGGGAAAACCATAAGCTACCATAGATAGCCCTTACTAAACCTCTGTTTATGTTATACCGTGTTACCCTTATGGTCCAAAGAGGATGCGCCCTGCACAATAAGATATTCACAGTGTAAAACTTGACTACCTTGAATATGATTGAGGCAAACAACCATTAAGATCTCTGACTACACCTACCTCCATGAAGGAAGCTGGGTCGGACTCCTTGAGAGCCTCGATGCAGAAGTGGATGGTAGCCGTGGTGGACTGTAGTGTATGGGTGTAGTCTTGCACTTGTTCTCTCAGTGCATGCACCTGTTTAAAGGTACATGTCTTTAGAAACAGGTAGCTAGAATGTATTAAAAAATACAAAATCAACTATTAAATTTTGCCACAAGACTGATTATTGAAAGAAGTCTTTTACTCTGTATTGAAGAAAAATGTGATTATATTCGACCAGATGAATTTAAAACTAACTAGTTCATCACAAATGTAGACTTCATAGCTTAATGAACATTGGTTTCGCGTTCCAGAAACCAGTGTGACTAACTTTTCTGGTACCGCTCACAGGGTTGTCTATAATAAACTAATTAGGTCTACAGGATCAAGTTGTGTGCTACAGTCCCGCTCCTGTGGCAGGCAAGCCCACTACGGGGTCACCATGGCCCGTGCTACTTGGAAATTTTATTCAGAGTAGTTGAATCTAAAAACAACAAAGTTGTGTGGTCGAGGTGCTTGTGAAATCAAAGTGACAGCGCAATATTGCTGCTTTATGAAAGTAAGAAGCATCTCATTTAAATTAATTGGAACGCTTACAATTTCTCAAATTCGATTCCCTATGGTGCGGGATATACTGACATAATTTACACTCGGAAAATATAAGAGGGACTGGTTCCAAATCTACCCATGGAAATAACTCCTTATAAGACCAAGAGGCATGGCAGAAAGTGCAAAATTGCTCCATTTGAAAAGCAGAGGTGCAATAGGCAACTCGCTAAGAGACAATTCTATCAATTGTTGTCCCCCTAACTCCCCTTGCCACTTCGGTCGGGTATAAGGTGTTTATGTAGCTTCAGGGCACCAATCCCCCCAGCCACAGGGCATGGCGAGAAGGCGCCCCTAAGCATACCTAATTCCCTATCAAACACAAACTAAAATACACATAAATGGCAGATCTTATCACAACCCACAAGAGTTAAGATGATAATAATAACACACAATAATATGAAAATAACATACACAAAACGGAAAATTCTTTTGTATTTGGTTTTTCTTATATGGGACACGGCACACAAAGGGAGAGGTGCACAGTATATCATTAAAAAGAACTAAAGCTGAAGGCAAAACAACAAGCTGCCTAAGCGGCAGGATTGGCGACCTGACATCGGCATACATGGAAAAAACTATTCATAGTGGAAGCTCCTAACAAGGCCCCGGAACGGGAGGGATATCATATATGCGCATGGGGGACCCTCCGGCCGCCGCCTTACCCACTCGTGGGCTCCGGCCAGGTCATCCACCCTCTTGTGAGAAACATTAAGTGAGCAAGAATTTTTAACGCTCTCCTAAACATAAGGGGCATAACTAGCCGACCTCTCACGGTGTTCAAAAGAAAACTTGATACACCTCTAAATGATATGTGATTAACCAGGCTGTGATTCATAAGTAAGACTGCCACACCCAGTACTCCCAGACCACACTTCTCTCCACTGCTCACACTCCATCTCTCGTCTAACAACTTGGCTGACTAGACCGCCATCAAGGATCAGTGACAGGGTCGCGGAGACATTGATTCCCGGACCCAGGAGGGTCCCAGGAGGATTCCCGGAGAGGAGGGAGCCGGTCGGCCGAGCGGACAGCACGCTGGACTTGTGAGCCTGTGGTCCTGGGTTCGATCCCAGGCGCCGGCGAGAAACAATGGGCAGAGTTTCTTTCACCCTATGCCCCTGTTACCTAGCAGTAAAATAGGTACCTGGGTGTTAGTCAGCTGTCACGGGCTGCTTCCTGGGGGTGGAGGCCTGGTCGAGGACCGGGCCGCGGGGACACTAAAAGGCCCCGAAATCATCTCAAGATAACCTCAAGATAACCCATCACACGGTAAGTAGGCAATAGGAAGTACTCACCTTGTTATCTCGCTGCCTCCTGACCCAGTTGATGAGGTCTGAGCGGCGTGCCTGCAGCGCCTCCACCAGGGCGTCCACCTGCGCCACCATCACACCCTCCACTTCTCGACAATTACCCTGTCGATTGTTGTATATACATCAAGGGATGTCACTGCCAGTGTTAATTGTGTATTAATCTGTAATGTATTAGTATCCACATATGGCACAGTATATGCAGAACGAACATGAGTACATTTTAGTTACATGTCGGTAATCTATTACAAGATACAGCAATGTATATAAAGTTATTTATATCACAACTCACGTGGACTTCATCCGAGAGAGTTTTAAGTGTGTGGATGAATTCCGTAGCAGCTCTGGCCTTCTCTGACAGCTGCTGCAGTGCCTGGGACAGCTCCGTCTGGTCAGGGGGAAAACAGTATTACAAATACTGTTCACATGGACATTTACGGTTCATTGCGAGCTTAAATTTCTTAAGGTTTAAGCTAGGCGAAATAAAGGCAGGGTGGAGGAAAGTAAAGGAATATCATTATTAACGCTTACGTTGTTATATTACATAATAAATATAGACATTGTGTAGAATACTCTCCGACAGGATACCAGTACCAGCCAACTTTGAGGAGATTGAGCAAACTGAAAAATGTTGGACAAATTAATCTTCACACACGGCCAGAATTATCCGACATAATTTGTCATGGGTAAAGACAGTGACAACATCGTCTCCGGATACTGCATGACAAGGACACGCTCTCTGGGGGAGGGTTCGCCCTCTAGGTATGTGAACCCGGATCTTGTTTATCCGGAGTGTAGTAGAAGCGTTTAGACATAACACGGCAGAGGATCAGTTTGGGCATAAATGAACCAAAGAAATTAAATCGGAGCACGGGGACGGAGCTGTGGCGGTTACACCTACTAGACGAGGAGGGAGGCAGTGCTATGAGGGAGAGGAACTGAGGCAGGAGATGACGGGGAGCAGAAGAAAGCAAAAACGGGGATTTATTGATAAAGATTAAGCCACCCAACAGGTGGCACGGGCTTGAATAGCCCGTAAAAAAAAACGAGGTCAAAGACGGGATAACAGGAGCAGCTGGATGACCTCTCCATCCAACAGACAGACATTACTCCTGACCCTTTCTCTACCCCCGCCCAAGTTTCCCTGTGATCACACACAGTGGGTATTCTCTGTGGGAATATACCACCACCGCCACACTTACCTACACACATCCTTCCGGTCATCCATCTCACTCAGTCACACTCATTTCGTAGGCCACCGCTTCTTCACGCCCCCACACACTCCTCGGCAACCACTCCCTCCCTCCACACTCCCTCTCCCATGGTCATACATCATCCCTCCTCTGGACACACACTCCCTGTGTCCCTCTCACTCCCTCCCTCTCCTGGATACTCAAATCCTCCGCCCTGCACACCCAATCTTCCAATGGCCCAGCAACCCTTCTGTCACCAGCCACAAGTACAGTCCCTTCCAGGATACCTACCCATCAAAAAAACATAAAAAATACCCATCCACCCCCGCTTTTCCATGACCGCAAACCCCCTTACTCCACGGATATACCCCCATATCCTCTGGCCACACTTCTCTCCCCCACTGTCCACGTATCCCACCATCACTTTCATTATTTTATAGAACACAAATGACCCCGTTATTACGATGATGAGATGTACGTCGACCAATCAATCATCACTCCTCTGGCCACACGCCCAGGGGGTAACCGTGCCACCTGCAAGGCAAGAAACACCACCTGCAAAACTCGTATGTAAATCCTCTTAGGAAAGCCGCCCAGTTGGTGCATGCAGATACTGCTCTCCCGCCCGCACCCGCACGCCCCCACCCGCCCACAACCCCCCCCCCCCCCACCCCCACTTGGTTTTGGGTACGAACTTTCACCATAAGGAACATGATCCTTAAATGTGGAGAGAAGGTGATGATGAGGCGGGAGATGAAGTTCCGGATCAGCCGGGCTGTGGTGGGTGCCAGTGGGCCTGCGGGCCGCTCCAAGCAACAGCCTAGTGGACCAAACTCTCACAAGTCGAGCCTGGCCTCGGGCCGAGCTTGGGGAGTAGAAGAACTCCCAGAACCCCATCAAGCAGGTATCTCACCACTGTACCTCCGCCCCCTCACCACTGGTCAACCAGGGGGACTAGATAGCACTGGAAAGCGGCCCGTCTAATTACCCAGAGCTACCCAACACTTGGAGGGTACATGGGGGTCGAGCTGGTGGTACGGTGCCCCATCCACTTGGGCCAACCCGGAACAAGTTGTTCATTACGGGCTATTCGTGCCCGTGCCGCCTCTTGGGTGGCTGGATCTTCATGAATCACAGTTTCACAACCACATGACACCTATCAGGAAATATAAGAAACATTGACGGAATGAAATTTCAAAGTCATCAAGAGGAAACTTGACAAGTTCGTGCAGAAAGTTGATGATTAGCCGAGATGTGTAACTTGTCTTGGCCGCCCGGCCACCACAAGCAAATCTCAGTAAATTTATATCTCTGTAAGCTTTTAATTTAACACTTCCCCCTCTCCGAAACATTCAAGTATTATAATAGATGGAACATTATGTGAGACAAAATGTTCCATCATACCATAAGTAGGAGGCAGAGTACGCAACATCCACGCCAACATTAACAACGGCAGCATGATGATGTGTACACACACACACACACACACACACACACACACACACACACACACACACACACACACACACACACACACACACACACACACACACACACATACACACACACACACACACACACACTTGAGGCGGGACCAAAGAGCCAAAGCTCAACCCCCGCAAGCACAAATAGGTGAGTACACACACACACACACACACACACACACACACACACACACACACACACACACACACACACACACACACACACACACACACACACACACACGGGGGCACCGGCGGGTGGGGCCGGGTAATCCGCCTGGCGCCTCCCGGGTAATCCGCTCTTACCGGATATTACCTGGATTTAGAACCGGAAACTTGCGGGTTTTAAATTTGTCGAAGGGGAGACGGGGAGTGTGGGGGAGAAGGCAGGTCTTCGGTGCTGGGGTCAAGGCGGGCAGTAGACGGAATATGTGACTGAACATTCATTCATTCCTTCCCCATTTCCTTGCACACATTCATTTTAATAAAATATATTACCAGATATCTGTGTTTGACTAGGATGTGTTTTAGGATTACATACCATTTATTTATACTCAATTAATAAACGTATTATCCAAGTTTATTTGTATCATAAATAATATTTGCCCAATTATCACAAGTGTCACATTTTGGCGGGAAGATTCGAATGTCATAAGCCATCTTTGTACTTATAATAATTATTAAAGAAATGGATTTAGGATTTAAATTATTGTTCACAAAATGCGAATTATAACATTTCCGACGTTCTTCAGGTTAAAATCCGGGAATGTATTGTGAACGATCGAGAAAGATCATTAACAAAAATCTAAGTTATTATAGCGATATATCAAACATCATTAACAAGTTACTGTAAAATAAATTGAAAAAAAGACTACTATTTCAATAAAATATATTATTAATTCATTTGAACTAATTGACTTTGGACTTCGGAAACCTTTTAACATCATTTCTTGGGGGCGGGGGGGGGGGGGGGGGGGGGGGGGGTTAGTAAAGAGGATAGAGAGACATAAGTGAAGTGAACATCTGTTCCTCATTTACCCACCAGATGCAGCACAAACATTTGTATAAATGCAACTATGTTCTTATTTATTTCCCACAATTAAATCTCATCAGCAAAACGATGAGTCTTCAACCGTGCAACTGTGGAAGACATAACACCACACACACGGAACCACCCACTCTTCTCCCTGCGCCACAACCTTCCAGTTCCGCAAATAGTCCCCGTAATAGTGTCTGGGATGCTCCCAGACGCAGGTTCGAATCCTCGTCACTGCCCTTGTGGATTTGTTCAGTCCCCCCTCTTACTCCACCGTTAATCCCACCCCATCTACACCATCGCTGGGCCCCCAACACCCGCTCCTACACCACCCTCCCCCACTGTGGACCCCACCTTGGAGTCTGCCGCTGTGGTAGCCACCAGCCACACCCCAACAGAAACACGCTTTCAACCAATCCGGTTATAATAATAATAAAGCTTATTCCAAAGAATGTGTGTACAAAAAACACATGGGTAATGTACAACTGTAGCTAATGGGTAGGTGGGTGGGTAGGTGGGTGGGTGGGTGGGTGGGTAGGTGGGTGGGTAGGTGGGTAGGTGGGTAGGTGGGTGGGTAGGTGGGTGGGTAGGTGGGTGGGTAGGTGGGTAGGTGGGTGGGTAGGTGGGTGGGTGGGTGGGTAGGCAGGTAGGTAATGGACAATGAACAATTGTAGGGGAAGAAGAGTTACACATACTTTTTTTGTTTTTCTTTAGGAGGCCTGGTCGAGGACCGGGCCGCGGGGACACTAAGCCCCGAAATCATCTCAAGGAGATACTAATGAAGCCACTATTACGCGAAGCTTTTCGGGCAATAAACCAAAAGAAAGTGAACATAAAAAAGCAAGTAAATAACGGATGAACCAGGAAACTGAAAAAGGAACAGAAAACAAAAGAAAATTATAAGTTAGAAAAAGAAATTAGAGAACGAGAAGACAAAGCGGAACAGAGAACACGAAAGAACAAAAAAAGCGAACACGATAAAAATGGCCACCTGTCTTCACGGTGTTGTTCATGTTCATGTTCATGACTCTTGCCTCAACCTGCTCTCTGCCCCCAATGACCCCCACCCCAACCCCCCCCCCCACACCCCAACCCCCCCACACCCCACCCAGACCCATTATTTACTCTCTCCGTTACTTCCACCTCCCTTTACCTCAGACTGACCTACACCCTATTACAGAGCTGCCTTCCCTCTTGCTCCTCCTTACCCCGGTGTAGCACCACCTGTTCTCCTTACCCATTACCTTACCCTAGTATCTCCTCTCCCCCGTACTTACCTTATGTCCTAACTTACTCATAGTCCCATTTCCCTCTAAACCAACACTAATAACGCCATTAAATGACAAAAATAAGATGGGTTATCAGTACATGATAACCCAACTTTTGAGTGTTGGGTTATCGAGGTTTTTTGGGTGTTTTTCACACGAGTTGTGAAGGAAGCCCAAGCTTCCCTCTCTCCCACACTGAACAATCTCCCTAAGTGCCATACCAACGGTACACTATTCTTTGTAAATGGTACGCAATTGGTACAATGCACCACAGAGTAAACAGTACTCTCTTCCCCTATACGGTACCAAACGATGCAACATTCTCCCTAAATTGTGCATCCTCAGTTGTGAGTCATGTGTAAACCGTTTTTCATTCATAAACAGGGGGGGGGGGAGGTTTGGCGGGT